ATGTACTTATGTAAATGTGCTAGCTGTAACATGTGTTCTCTCACTATCTAGCAAGTATTGATTCATGAATGAACTGACTCATTGTATGATATCGCGTTCTAGTAATGGTTCTAGTATCTTCCTAAACTACCCATATGGTAGTTTACTAGTAATCTATTTGGTAAGTATGGACATGGATGTATACCCTTGCTAACCAAGGGCATATATTGAACTGGAAGGACCTTTTATGACTATATATGTACACATGATATATAACTAATATTTAAACGATGTTCGGACGAATACCCAATATCCCACCAGACCACATCTCAAGGCGCGAAAAGGAAATAGGGTGGATAGCCTTCCTAAGTCTTTTAAACATTTCTTATATAACTATGCATATAGAGGCATGCAATTTATAATATAAAAGCATAAATAAGTTTTGTAAGACATTTGAAACATAAATATTATTTTAAGAAAAGATCGACTTGATGTCAATCTATAAAACAATTTGAAGGCATAAGTTTAATAAAACAGTTTAAGTATAAGGAAACATTTGTTTGAAACACAGTTGTAAATAAGTTTGAAAGGTAATGTATGGAGTAAGTTGTACAGTGTAAAAAGGAGTTTAAAACATATAAAATGTTTATAAAAATTCATTTGAAGGAAACTGTTTGGTAAAACGGCTAATGAGTAGCCAAATCATTTGAATGTTGTATATTAATCACATGTGATTGATGTAATAAGTAATATAATCCTACTTACTAATCACATGTGATTGACATAATAAGTAGCATGATTCTACTTGTATCCCCCCCCCCCCATAAAACATTTAAAAAGAGTTTAAAACATTAGTTAAGGGGTATGAACTCACTTGCAGTAAGTGACTGGAATTGAACGGACTGTTATTGTACGGAAGGATCGGACAAGTGCTTGGTGTCAAGTGGAGACTTAGACACACACAATGATCCTAATTACATATGAAAACATATGTAATATAAATAATTAGTGATTATAACACTAATTATACAAGTAATAACATTTAAGCGCGAGGAAAACACTTTTGGTCAAGTGCTAGGAGGCTAAAGGGTTGCAACAAAGGAGTGCAATGCCCCTAATGTGATTTTAAGGTCTAATGACCATATTCATTGGAGTTTACGGCCCAAGAGAGTAAGCTCCTGGCCGTAAACTCCCAACCAAGGCTTGGGATGGTACTTTCAATTACTACAACCTTAGTGAGAATTGTTTCAAGGCCTCTACAAGTGTTTGGGCACCATATTGACTCCTTTGGGGAGTTTACGGCCCAAAGACCCTTTTCCCTTGGAGTTTACGGCCGTAAACTCCCTTGGGAGGGTGATTATGGTGCTTTCAAGTCTCAAACATTTCTAGGAACAAGTCTAGGCTTTAGTACTTGGCTTTAGGAGGGTTTATGGCACCATTTGGTACCATTTCTTGGAGTTTACGGCCATAGAACATTTTGGGCCGTAAACTCCCTCACACATGGGGTTCTAAATGTTTTACCTAGTCCATAACTCATCTAGGTACTTGTCCAAATTGTCCCTTGTCCTAAGGAAGTGTTTCGGGTGTCCTTTGACCCCTTTAAAGGAGTTTACGGCCCAAGAAATACTCTTGGCCGTAAACTCTTCAATACTTGTGCTTTTCTTATGTTTCCTAGGTCCTAAACACATTAAGGTATTTGCCAAAAATAGAGTCCAAGCCTTTGGGGGTGATTAGGGCACTTTTAGCCCTTGAAAAAGGGGTTTACGGCCCAAGAGCTTTTCTTGGCCGTAAACTCCTAGAACTTTATGATTTTGAAGTGTTTTGGTGTCCAAATTAGCTACAAGCATTATAGGATAAATGCCTTAAGCCTTAGGGGTCATTTAGGGCACACTTTGGCCCTTAGAAATGGTGTTTACGGTCCAAGAAGCTCTTGAGTCGTAAACTCCAAAAGGTTGGTGTTCTTGAATGATTTCTAGCCTCAAATGTTTATACACTAAGTCCTTAACTAGTTGCCTAACAAGGAATTGGGACTAGATGGCCTTTAGGCCTTGTTTTGGAGTTTACACCCCAAGAACGTTCTTGGGCCGTAAGCTCCCGGATCTTGTGTTTTAGACATGTAAATAATGTTATTAAGCATATAACAAGTATTAAAACACATCTAAGGAAGTAGACTCACAATCTGGGATGAAAACCCGAAGATCCGTGAGAGAGAAATTGGCTTTTCTCTAAATGGAATTCAACTAATGAACCAATTTGGTTTAGAATTCTATTTATAGTCCTGAGATTTTTGGCAGAAAATATTTCTATTCTCGGAATGGATTCTAATGATCTAGGGTAATGGAATTTACATTATTGCACAAAATCCTAGTGCAACCACTCTCCTAATACCCTTTTTTGGTGTAAAACCCTGAAACTGCCAAACTTATATTCTAAGTCTGAATTTTCACTGTAACTGATCTTTATCTATTGGCTTGATATGGTTTATTCGGAATGGAAATTTCGGGTTGTCACATCATCTCTTGTCTTCTTAAAAAGCCATAAAAATTATTTCTTAAATGGCTGAAAATGGCTAACAGATTTTAATCAACTTTATCCTTTAGAATAATTGAGATTTCTTTTCATAAATATAAAGCACCTTCGATTTTTAAAAAATAGAAAAAAATTTACACACACAAATTTTTCACATACTGTGTACTCACACGTGTTTACACACATTTTTGAAAAACTACCAATCTTACAAACATTTGAAATGAAATACCTTACATTTAATATATCAATCTTTATATGGATGGTCAAATAGGTCTTGAGCATCTTGAAACATTTCATTTTTTAGTGTGGTGGAAGGAGAACCTTAGATCTAAAAGGGGATGTTCTTATATCTTGTAACAATTTTTGAAATTCTTTTTTAGATGATCAATCAACACTAATATTCTTGCTAATAATTGTACTTTTGAAAAGGAATGATGTCGATCATTTCATTTTTGGGTTCTTATTGATGATACATTTCGTGAATATACTTGATAAAGTTTGAGCTTGTCCTACCATTTTGAATGGTATTGCCGATTTAGCCAAGGAAGAGAAGTTGCCTTTGCTTCTTGATAATGATATGTCCATACCATAATCCATAATCCATTATATTTTAATCTTTTTTTAATATCAACTTTAAAAAAAAATTAAATATGAAATTTTAACAATTTGAGAAGTTTGAATTTATAAGAAAAATAAGAAAAAATTTAAAATTTTAAAATTAATGAGCCTTAATACATTGAATACATTATATATATATATATATATATATATATATATATATATATATATATATATATATATATATATAAACATTATCTAAGAAATATCTTACATATATATTACCTTACATATTAAATGTGGAATTTTAATTTAATAAAATGAAAAATACAATAAAATAACAAGTGAAAAATAGAAAATTCAAAAATTCTAGAAAATTTCATTTGGTAAAATGAATGAGAAGAAAACATTTGACAAAAAAAACTTTTATTTATTAAAAAGGATTTAAGTATTACTGGCTCGATGAAATGACTAATTGATTAGAGAAATATTTGGTGTTAATGAGCTTTTTATTATGTATTTTGAAAAACTCATAAATATCTTAAAACTCTTTATTTCAAAATTAATCAAATTTGATATATTTTCACACATCATTATCACATACAATCTTTAAATATTGCTAAACAAGATTATGATTAAGAAATAATTTTGGGAGAAGGATAAAACATGATGATAAAAGAATTGAAAAATGATATTAAAAAAAAAAAAAAAAAAAAAAAAAATAGTAATTCAAATATTACATTCTTGAATTAAATCGGACGAATAATCGGTATAAACATTTGGAGAAAAGATTATCTGAAAATCTAAAATTTTGAACAACGGATGCGAATAAAGGAAACACTAAAGGCTTTATTAGGTATAACCTAAACATTTAAGTAGAAATAGATTTTTTTTTTTTTTAATGCCTCTTACTAAAATTGTCTTGTAAATCTATAAAGTGTTGATATGGAAACCCATAACCGAATGTTTGCTTTTACCGAATCTTTCTTCATAAATCTTTCTTCCTTGATTATTTTTTTGTCTTTCTATCCAATGGTTGAAATCATAATATAGAGCTTTTGACTATGGCTCTCTTATTATTCATTTTTAGTATTCTTGTTGAAAAATCATAGAAATTTTCTAACATGAATCCAAGGCTAAAAGCATTCATGTTCAATCACCTTGTGTATAATAAAAACAAGTTTACTACATTTGTATTGCAAAAACCTTGTCTCTATTATTTCAACATAAACTTAAATCCAATAAATTTCATTTGTCTTGACAGAAAAAAATATATATATATATATATATATATATATATATATATATATATATATATATATATATATATATATATATATATATATATATATATATATATATATATATGTATCAGATCTAATATATTTCACACTATAGTCAAACTATATTGATTTTCAGATATAAATATTATCGATCAACATTTACAATCGAATAAAGTATATCAACAAAACCATTGCAATGCATTTTTAAATGTACAACATGAACCATAAAAGTTAGAAGTTTATGAACTCATCATAATTTCTCCATTATCGTATTAAATCACAACAGAAACTCGCAAAAGCCAGGCAACTTATAAACTCGGAAACAAATCACGAGATCGAACTAAAAATTTTATTCATTTTGTTGATGGGATGCAATAGTTGCGATTGTTTCATTTTATTTCACTTAATGATACAAAATTAAAGTTGGATATTAAAATCAAAAGCAGGCTACAAAGAAAAAAGAGATCATCCCATTCTATATTAAAAAGCATGTAATCATCGTCTTCCAAGATGAACAGTAATAAGCAATACAAAGACACATTTTTTGACATAATCACTCTATCTATAACTCAATATTTTTGATAAAACAAACAAACAAGACACATCCTAATTCACTCTCCTACTACAAATCTACAAATCTGCTTTGCAGCATCAATCTAAGTATACCTGCAACATCTGTCTCTACATGAGGCAATCAAGAAGAAGCAATAAGTTAACGAAGCACAAGATCAAATCCTAATCATGTGTTGTCATTTCAGTTTCTCCATGAAAGAAGAATAACAAAGTAGCTCAAATTTTATATACTTTAGGTTTGAGGGTGGGGCTGTGACTATGAATTATTGCCACAGCAATTGAAAGAGACTGCAGCGCAGATAGTGTTGACTGGTAATGGATATAATACAAACCATCATGAATGTTCCTCACTTCTATAACTGGTAGACTTTGCTTACAACCCTGAAAAACAAAAAAGTTGTAATATATCAGGTTTTATTTTTTTGATGATTATCGCATTTGAAAATCATAACGTTTTTGAATCTTTAAAAATGTGTACTATAGCATCCTACTTACAGGATTGTACTTTGGAAAATCTACGCAATCATAGCTTCGTACTTTCATTTCTTTTCTAATTATAGCAGTGAAAACTGGTTTCTATTTAGATGACATTGCTATATTTTTTGAAGTAAAAATGTTGTAATAGCAACAACTTAATGACAATACACTTGCTATTTCTAGCATTTAAGCTTTTTTTTTTCTTCATATAAAAGGTATGCAAAATAATGCAATAATATGAGAGAAGAATAGAGTATTACTATTACTATTACTATTACTATTATTATTATTATTATACCTGTGTAAATAATTGAAACGAATTGGTCTTCCCAAAAACACCTGCTTGGTAGAAAACATCTTTTTTATTATTTGGACCAGCATTAAGTAGTGTGAGAGGGCAACCGATATCCCAACCACCACAATCACAAGAACCACCATTCCTCCACCTCTCAACAAGGCTAGAAGCTCCTCCATTTTTCGTTTTTGGTCCCCCATGAAACCCTGAAGGGACAATAACATCCATGCTGCTAAAATGTTGGCTACTACTTTCACTACAAACTTCACAATGTGTTTGTCCACCTTCTTTAAGAAACTTCAAACCCCACCCTCCAACTTCCACCTTCTTAACATGCTCCTTCACAACAATCGCAACCGATTCAAGATTCGTCGGAAAGCTGGATTCCGGGGACGCATTCCCGTCTTCACTTGGCTCTAATAACATCGGCATTCCGTCAAATTTAGAACATGTCCTATTCCGATTTGGGTGTCCTCTAAAAATGTTTGTCACCTTCTTTGAAAGCCCTTTGTTCTTTTTAACAATCTGATTTGGACCCTCTTCACTATGATGTCCAGTGGCGCATAAAATAAAATGAGTCTCTGTAATTTCTGTTCCAAGTGGACAGAATGTGAAACTCGTCGACACTTTCATTTTAGCCACAAGATCTGACTCGTTGTCATGAAACATGTAAACGTAATCCAAACCCTCATCCTTAATCGACTCGAGTTTTGATAAATTGGTCGTGTAAACTTCTTTCTGGTCCTCTACTGAGAAAACATAACGTGGGAATCCGTTATTCCATGAGCAGTGAAGCATTCCTTGAGAGTAGGAATTGGATGACGATGATGAAGAAGAAGAAGAGGAAGAAGAAGAAGAAAAAGGATCTGAGAAAGTGGAGTTGGTGCTTGAGACTGAAACAAGCCTTTGGTGCACCGATTCATGTTTTTTTAGGTCATGGGATGAAGTATCAACAGAAAGTAATGATTCTTTGACCTCTAATGGACATAGTAAAGGGCTGTTCAAAAGATTAATCATGCTTCTACTTCCTGTGATTGAACCCACAATCGGATCAACCCCAGATGAAAATAAAAACAAAGTATCACAATTACTTCCATTAACCGTTCTTGAAGTAAATGCATCGGGCAAAAAGTTGATTTTTGATGGGGAAGAAAAAGAATTTGATCTCATGGCACTCGTATGAATCAATTCAAGGCAATGGCGAAGGTATTTTTCTTCGAGACTCATGATTTGCTTTGGAATCCTTCTCTTTAAGCCAACCATTTGTTGAAGAAACAGCTTTTGTGGGCAAAAATCACTAATCTGTAACTTCTTGTTGCTTGAAGGCAATACACCTTTAGGATTCACCTCCATTGTCAATGTTTCCAACAAGCAATCTTCATTTGATGATTCAAAATCTTTGTTTGAGGATGGATTCTCATTCTTGTAGCCAACAATCTTAGCATTATCCATCTCTCTGAATCGGATAGAGACCATATATTTCAAGTTGGGAAATTGCTTTACATAATTTACATTCAATTGTAGCAGACTAGGCTTCAGTTTGTGTGTGTTGAATCAAGTGTATGCTGGAAAACATATAACAGAAAGAAAAAAAAAATGTTAGCATAGAATTTCCTCCAAAAGAACACATTAAAATAAGCATCCCAAAAAGTTTGGTCAAACTGATCACAACAAGAAACGTGCAATCTGTTGAAAATTATGAAATTCAACACAATCAACGGCAACAAATAATTATAAAATAAACAAGAAACCAGAGCAGCAATACCAACATCTTATGGAGTGTTTGGAAACATATTTTATGGCTTGGAATAGAAACCTTTCGAAAATATCAACTCGAAACCCAGAAGAAAAAAAAAAAGATGAAAATCCCCAATCAGAAAAATCAAGATTACATACTAAAGATCGGAAATTTCTTCAACCCAGTGACATACAGATCAAAGCTCCCTGAATCTTTTAACCTTTGGATTGGTAAATGAGTGAAGGAAGCATACTATACCCTCTAGACAATGGGACAAAAGTTGGAATAAATCGAGGATGTAAATTGTATATGAGAAACCAAAGATAAGAGAAGAGAGAAGAAAAAGCCAAATAACACATAATAAAATGAAACTAAAAAGAAGACTTTACCAACTTGGGAGCATGCAAAAGAAAGAATAAAATGGTGAGGTCCAAGAAACTGCTGGATAAACAGAATCTAGAAAGAGATTGTGCTTGTATGGCGTAAGCCACGTATCCAGGAAATTATTGCGAAATGGGTTTACGCTGGTGGGTCCGTATTGTTGTTGGTGTTCTTCTTCTTCTTTTCCTCTTACCAAAAATCGATATTTTGAAAACCCTAAAACTGGAATTGAAGAGGGGGGAAACAGGGAAATGAAAGATATGGAGATGGAGATGGGAATGAGCTGGTTCGCATAAAATACAGAAACTGTAGAGTTGCCTTTTGTTTGTTCCAGTTAAAAGGCACTAACTAGCCCCGTAGTTAGAAGCAGTCGTAAGCTAGACACATCGAGAGGGGAGGAGAGGAGTGGTGGGGACCGGTTTCCGATCACTCAGACATGTGACTTCTCAGCTTTAATGGATCCCATGTTAAGGCCTATTTGTTCTGTTGTTGCTGCTCATAACCGATAAATTTAATGGGTCAAAATACATTATTACATTCTCTTATGAATAAGGCAACTGGTGTGGGTCATATATTGTTTTTAGGGATAATGATTTAGAGGATTAATTTTTTAATTTGTTCAAAAAAAATCAGTATTAGATGTTTAAAAAACACTATCAAACTAAAACATATGTTCAAAAAACACCAACAAAATACATATTCTATTAAAAAAAAAACATTATTTTTATGGTTTTGGGTAACTTAGATGTTTAGCCCCTAACTTTTTTTTTCTTAACTCGGACACTCCCTAGTGTTTATATTTGTTTTTTTTCCTCCGGACTATGATCGAGTTAAAAGACTAATATACCCTTACTAGTTTCATTTAACATTTATTTTTATTACTTGTTAATTATTTATACAATTGATATATTTATAATAATTAATAACATAAATTGTATAAATAACTAATAAATAATAAAAATAATGTTAAATGAAAATAATAAGGGTATATTAGTCTTTTAACTCGATCAGGGTCCGAAGACGAAGCAAATTTAAACTAAAGAGAATGTCCGAGTTAATAAAAAAAAAGTTAGAGACTAAATATGTAAGTTACCTCAAACCATAGAGATGGTGTTTTGTGAGATCCGGAATTTCAGGTATTATATTTATTCATTTTATTTTGAGTTTTCAGTAAGAACTCGGCGAGCTGGTGCGTAGACTCGCCGAGTAGAGACGCGATTTCTCATCCAGATTAATGATCGGACTCGACGAGTCGCATTGGTGGACTCGGCGAGTCCGCGCTGTTTAATGAAACCCTAATTTCTTGGGTGTAGGGTCTATTTAAAGGGCCTTATGGCTGTCATTTGTGCTCACCACCCCTAGAGCGAAACCCTAGTGCACTTGAGCGTTTGGAGTGAGAGAAGGAGCCATTATCAACCTTGGAAGTGTTGTCTAGCAAGGGAAAGGAAGCTTTAGCCAAGAGGAAGCAAGAGGGTTAACTTCCTGAAGATCTGAGGTCTAGAACATCACATTTGAGGTACTATTTTCGAACCATTTTCTGTTGAGGTGATGCTCATGTTGATTTAGGGCTTATTGAGCCCTTTTGTGGCTAGATCTAGTGCTCCTTTGGTCCCTTAAGCGAGTTAGGTTCTGGATCTGGACCCTTGGAGGTCCAGAGTGTCCCTTTGTCCAAGCTTTTTATGAGTCCATGGAGGTTTTGGTTTGGGATCTTTGTGCTTGAGGTCAAAACACCATTTATGAGTTATTAGGTGAAGTATGAGCGCCAAGACATGAACTTTACGTGATAAATAAGCTTGGAATGACTGGATCTATGAGTTAGTGGAACAAATTTGACCTCAGAAGGTCGTTTGGGGTTGTGCATGGGATGCACTCGCCGAGTCCATTGGCAAACTCGACGAGTTGATGCGGGTTGTTCAGGGATTTCGAACCAGGGGTTGAGGAACCGAGTTGGGTGAGTGAATTAGTGAGTCGGAAGGGACTCAGAGGAATCGGGTCCCCATAGAGACTCAGCGAGTCCACGCCAGACTCGGCGAGTTGGGTTGACCGTTGACCATTGACCAGAGTTGACCGGTGTTGACTTGATAGGGTTAGTCAACCTTAGTTGGGAAAGTGTTAATTAGAGATTTATTGTGTTATAGGAAGACTATAGCTCGGGAGATCGAGCACTAGTGATTTTAGGGATTTATGAGTTACCGAGATACGCGAGGTGAGTCTTCTCACTATACTTTACCTTGACTAGGTAAATAGAGTTATGTGATACAGTGTTTTATATATATTGTTTGTTGCACTGCATTCTTCTATGTGATTTATGTTGTGCATGCTTGCAGAGTTAGAACCTAAGGGTTCGTAGAGTTTGCGTGCACGGACCCACAGAGTGGTATTTTGGGGAACTCACTAAGCTTTGTGCTTACAGTGTTTTGTGTTATGTGTTTCAGGTACTAGTGAGGATCGCGGGAAGGCGCCGGCTTGATCAGTACACACACAGGATTTTTATGATATGAGATCTTGGGATTTTTATATGTTATAAATTGAGTATCAAACAATGATGTTTTTATGATTTACAAATGAATTATGTTTTTATAAATGCGAAAAATTGTTTTGGAAATTTACGGTGTTACAAGTTGGTATCAGAGCCTTGGTTTGAGGGATTCAGGTACACCTTCGGGAGTATTTGAACTCAAACTGAGGATTTGGAAAATATTTTCAAAAGAGAACCAAATTTTCTAAAAGAAGTAAAAGATTTTTAGAGAAACACAGAGCAGAAACGTGTGTACGATCAGTCAGCGCCCGAACGGTGATTTCCCAAAATACCCTTATGTTATATGTTTATGAGATTGATATGATGTATTCTCTTGCTAGATTGGGCTAGGTTTCCTGTTAGTACTAGAGTGGCCTGATTGTGATGCCTTAGCCTAGGGAGAGGTGAGTTGCTATGAGATGATTGAGAGTGAGTAGGTAGCAGCGAGGAGCTTATGAGAGATCTGTTAGAGAGTGGATTATGCATAGTAGAGTACTTGGGATTTGGGATCTGAAGAGGAGGACTTGGGGTGTATACTGATACGGTGCGGACAGTAGTATTGGGCCCGTACTACTGAAAACACCGGGGCGGCGTACAGTCCAAGTAAGAATCTTTGGGATCCCAGGGATCAAGGAGGGATGAGTTATCGAGTGCGAGTATACGCGAGTGAATTTCTTATATCTCGTATGTTGTATTTCAGAGGTAGATCATGGTGAGGACACGTCTTATGCCAAAGAGCAGTGGGGCTATTGATGAGGAGATCCGTCGGATCATCCATGAGGAGGTGGCTGCGGCCATCAGGGTAGAGATACCAGAGATGTTCGGGTCTATTAAGACCACATTGATTGAGACTTTTGATGAGAGTTATGTTGCTCTTTCTGAGGCTGCTATTGCAGCGGCCACCGCAGCTGTTGCGGCTGCGAGGCCGCAGGGTGGTGATGCGTTGCTGTTCCGAGATTTCAGCAACACGAAGCCACCAGAGTTTGATGGGACGCAGGATCCGATTGCAGCGATGAGATGGGTGTCTGACATTGAGGGTTGTTTGTACACATGCTCGTGCCCGGGGCACTTGAGGGTTCGATTTGCGCTGAACCAGCTTCGCCTGGGGGTGAAGGACTGGTGGAAGTTCACGACAACACACTATTCTCCAGCAGAGCTTGCTGTGGTGACCTTGGAGAGGTTCACCACCATGTTTGTGATGAGTACGTTCCTCCGGTGGAACGGGATCGGTTGGCACAGGAGTTTTTGACCCTCAAGCAGGGTACAGAGTCAGTTACGGTTATCACCAAGATGTTTCATGAGAGGGCGATGTTCTGCCCTGAGCACGTGTCATCTGATCAGGCACGTATGAGCCGTTATTTGAGTATTTTGCGAAGGGATATTCAGGAGTTCGTGGCGAACTCCTTGTACCGGACGTTTGCAGAGCTTCAGGAAAATGCATGAAAGAGGGAGATCGATCTAGAGACTCAGGCGAGGGAGGAGGCGGAGTCTCAGGGGAGGGATCGGCGACCGGCACCAGTCTCAGCCGGCAGCCAAGCGGGCCAAGCCCGCTGATCCCAGAGCAGGGAGCCAGAAGGGCCGCACTTGTGGGAAGTGCGGCAAGGGTCATGATGGGGTTTGTAGAGTGGGATCTTGCTATAAGTGTGGCAAGGAAGGGCATATGGCCAAGGACTGACAAAGGGGTTTGCAGTATGTGTTCACTGCAACCAGACCGGACACCGGAAGGCAGAGGGTCCGCTGTTGCGAGGGACTACCCAGGGAGCATCACAGGGATCTGCCCCTGCTGCTATCAGAGCTACTGAGAGCCGGCCAGTGAAGGCCGAGGTATCGAAGGTGCGAGGGAGAGCCTTCCAGTTGACCGCGGAGGAGGTCCGCGCAGCGCCCGATGTTGTGGCTGGTATGTACTCTTTCATGTAATTATTTAATGTTTAAAATTTTATGCTTATATTATGACATGCGTAGGTACTTTTCTTGTGAATTTTGTACCTGCTTTGGTGTTATTTGACTCGGGTGCGAGTTGATCTTTTATATCATTGGCTTTCAATCGGCACATCAACATTAGTCGAGAGGCGTTGGGTCGACCTCTGAGAGTTTCCATCGCCGATGAGAGAGCAGTATATGCCACGGAGGTGATTCGAGGATGTGTAGTCGAGATTTTCGGTGTAGAGTTTCCTATTGATTTGGTCCCGATTGCAATGGGGGACGTCTGTGTCATCATAGGCATGGATTGGTTGAGCAGATTTGGAGCAGTTATCGACTGCGAGCGACAACTGGTGACTATATGAGACCCAAGTAGGGGAGTTCTTACTGTGTACGGCGAGGGTACCCGTCCCGATTCAGCATTTTGTTCGGCTGCTAGAGCGAGGCAAAGTCTACAACAGGGTTGTAGTGGTTTTGTAGCGTACGTGATGGATACGAGGGTTGGTGGAGGGAGACCGAGTGCGGTTGAGGAGGTCCCGATAGTGTGTGAATTCCCGGATGTTTTCCCTGAGGAGTTACCGGGTGTGCCTCCCGAGAGGCAGGTGGAGTTTCGCATTGATTTGATTCTGGGGGCAGCACCTATCGCCAAGGCGCCCTATCGCCTTGCACCTCCAGAGATGCAGGAGTTATCCTCACAGCTTTAGGAGCTGCTGGGGAAGGGGTTTATACGGCCGATCAGCTAGCCGTAGGGAGCACCGATCCTTCTCCTGAAGAAAGAGGATGGTTCGCACCGAATCTGCATAGATTATCGGGAGTTGAATAAGTTAACAGTCAAGAACTGTTATCCTTTGCCGAGGATCGATGATTTGTTCGATCAGCTGCAGGAAGCATCTTGGTTTTCCAAGATTGATCTGAGATCTGGATATCATCAGATGAGGGTGCGCGAGGAGGATATTCAGAAGACTGTGTTCAGGACTCGTTATGGACACTACGAGTTCGTGGTGATGCCATTCGGACTCACCAATGCGCCTGCAGCATTCATGGATCTCATGAACAGGGTATGCAGACCGATGTTAGA